TTTTGCTTATGTGGTGCTGAGGAATCGAACCCAGGGCCTCATGCATGCAAGGCAAGCGCTCTACCACTGAGCCACCTTCCCAGCCCGCTGGACATAATTATAGGCATGTTCCATCATGTCCAATTCAAAATTCACTATTCCTCAGTGCTATATTCAAAGCAGGAAGAAAAAGATCATTCTAATTCTCTTCTGAAAAATTACTTTGTTAAAACTGAGTATACAGTTTAATATTGTGACATTTCTGTACATGTGCACATGTACTTTGAACAAATTCATCCAATTTTCGTTCTTTTGAAATAATGCAGATTAACAGCTGTGGCTGTTGCAAAAATATTTTATCTGTGTTTTATTAACTGTCTTTCTGTGTCTATCGGTAGTATAAGTAGTTTAAAAATTAGGAGAATCAGAGTAGTGTTTGTTTGTTTACTTATTTATTTGAGGTGGGTTCCAGGTTGACCTTGAACTAAATTCTCCTATCTCTGCCTCCCAAGTGCTGGGATTACAGGTGTCCACTACCATACCTGCTGCAATGCTAAGTAATTGAGCATAAGATTGGGTGACCCACAAAAGTGCATTAGTTTGATGAATTTAATATCTTTAGGAAGGGTTTTTGGTGGAGTTACATTTCAGTTGCTTACTGCTGTAATCCTAGGTACTCATTCCACTGGAAGACAGGTTCAGAAGCCTATACAGAAAAATCAAATGCAAGACCCAGGTGCTGTCCCTTAGTTTTTTTTTGCCCAAGACTGGCATTTTTCCACTTGAGCCATAGCTCCATTTCTGGCATTTTGTTGTTCAATTGTTGCAAAGACTTTTCTGCCACAGCTGGCTTTGAACAATGGTCCTCAGTCTCAGTCTTCTGAGTAGCTAGGATTATAGGTGGAAGCTACTGGTGACTGGCTTTGATTTTTTTTTTTAAGACAAATTATGCCTTTAATGTCAAATGTAGGGTGTTTAGCTTTCCTTTTTTTTTTTAAATCACATCTTAGCTTTATGATGGTGCTGATTGCTCAGTCCTTCTGAGTGTTAATTTTCTTAGTAGCAAATTGAGAGATATTGCTATTATTAAATAAAATATCATAAAGCATTTGTCACACTGTTGCATGGTTAATACTCCTTAGGTGCTAGCTCTTATTTCTAGTAGATATTATATGTTGTGGTGGTAATATGTTGTTTCTAGGCTAAAGAGTTGATCTTAGTGACTTAGGAAAATAAAGACTACACAGTTAATATAATATATAATTTAGTGAAGAATAAAGTTGTCTTGAAATCAACCATTTTAAGAGTTGTTGAACAACAGCTCTATCTACTAAATAATTTGAATCTGATATAATGTGAAAGATATAAAAAATGTACATTACAATGTAATGCATGCAATGAGAAAAATATAGACACTGCTTTGAGGGCTCTGAAGGCCCTGTTCTTTCTGGAGGGTAAATGGTGAGTCTTGAACAAGAATAAAGTGCACTACTTTGCTCACATTCAAATTGTTCAAGGTAGATCTGCAGAAGCACATAAATAGAACATTATGAAAGTTCCTGTATCATGGTTGTCTACTTATTTTTTTTTTTTTTGGGTCAGGTCGTGGGGCCTGAACTTTGGCCTGGGCGCTGTCCCTCAGCTCTTCAGCTCAAGGCTAGTGCTCTATCACTTGAGCCACAGCACCACTTCCGGCTTTTTTTCTTTTTGCTTATGTGGTGCTGAGGAATTGAACCCAGGGCCTCATGCATGCACTACCACTGAGCCACCTTCCCAGCCCGGTTGTCTACTTATTTTTATAATTGAGTATTTGCATAAAGATTTTCCTATTAGGGTAATTCCAAGTTTCTTTTGTATGAGTATAGAATATGGGATATTAAAGTGAGGATTCTAGAAAATGGCTAGTTAGACTTAGGTTTATTAGTGATAGAGCATGTAGTTGGATTGGATGGCAGATTGAGTACCTGTGTGGCTCATTTTAATAGGTTTCTTTTTTCATGCTGTGGTACTAAGAATTTATTGTTACTGTGTGACCTGTTACACAGGTCAGCAGTTGCTGGATTTCATGCTATATAAATTCTAAGCTCAATAAATAAAATTAATAGTGAAGAAAATCAAGTGTGCTGGTAGAAGCATTAAATCTTTTTTCATATCTATATTAAATTGGGATAAAATATCTTTTACAAAATTGTTATGCATTTAATGGTAACATGTAGTTAGAATGTGTGCTATTTTACCCACATTAACCTCAACTCCTTTATGGATGCAGGGCTAAAATACAGAGAATGTCATTTAGTTTGGGAACTTAGAATGATTTCAAATATAACCTATTTTTCAAATATAGGTATAACCTACTTTTCAAAAATAAGTGAACTAAGGTCTGTTGTTTGGAGAATGTCTTAAAAAATATCCACATAATAAAAATTTAGGAAAAGAGGCAACATACGGGTTACCGAGTAGAAAGTTACTAAGTTGTGTTTGTTGTATAATAAATGCTCTTTTAGATAAAAGGATAACCAGGTACCATTGTTAATGCCTGATATACTAGGTACTCAGGAGGCTGAGATGTAGGAATCAAGGTTTGAAGCCAGGCCCAGGCAGAAAAGTATGAGACTCCTTTCTCCAATTAACCACAAAGCCTGAAGTGGAATTATGTCTCAGGTAGCCTTGAACAAAAGAGCTCAGGGACAGCATCCAAGCCCTAAGTTCAAGGCCCAGTACTAGCACCCCCCCCCAAATCAAAGGATAATATATTAGCAGGTAGAATGTAGGATCAGCTGTTGATAAAATGTTATCCTTTCTCATTTTATTAATTAACTAATTAATTAATTTGGGTCCGGTCGTGGGGCCTGAACTCCGGGCCTGAGCACTGTCCCTCAGCTTTTCAGCTTAAGGTTAGCGCTCTACCACTTGAGCCACAGCGTCACTTCCAGCTTTTTTTCTTTTGCTTATGTGGTGCTGAGGAATCGAACCCAGGGCCTCATGCATGCAAGGCAAGCGCTCTACCACTGAGCCACCTTCCCAGCTCCTTTTTCATTTTAAAACATGAAGTTTAGCTGGGTGCTGGTCGCTCACGCCTGCAATCCTAGCTACTCAGGAGGCTAAGTTCTGATGATCCTGGTTGAAAGCCAGCCTGGGCATGAAAGTCTGTGAGACTCTTTAATTCCAATAAACCACTGAGAAAACAGGAAGTGGTGCTGTGGCTCAAGTGGTAGAGTGCTAGCCTTGAGCTGAAGAGCTGAGGGGCAGCACCCAGGCCCAGAGTTCAAGCCCCACGACCAATCAAACATACACACACACACACACACACACACAAGCACAAGCACACGCACACACACGAAGTTATGTTGTCTAAGGCAATTATTCAGCTCTAGGCTTAAGGAATCTGATGATAAACTGTTTATATAATGTACATTTTGCGTCTTTATTGATTCATAATTTTTTTCTTTTTTCTTTTTTGGGGTTAGAACTTGCTAGGCAGTGCTCTACTACTTGAGTCATGCTTCTAGCTTGTTTCATAGATTTTCCTTTTTTTTCCCTTCATTTTATTTATTTATTTATTTATTTATTTATTTATTATTGTGAAAATACTGTACAGAGGGGTTACAATTACATGGGCAAGGTAATGAGTACATTTCTTATCAAGCATTGCAGCCTCCTCCTTTGTTTCCCCTTCCCATCCCTTCACATCCTCCCCCACCCCCCTATTTATTTATCTTTAAATGTAGCCCAGTCTAACCTTGACCTCTCAATACCCCTATCTCCATTTTTACCTCCTGAGGACTGGGGATACAGGTGTTATCACATCTGACCAGAACGCATTATTTTTTACCACATGTCTCCAGGGGGAAAAATTTAATGGAATTGTTTGTTTTACCAAATTATGAATTTGCCCCTGAATGTTTTCTTGTTGAGATTTAAATTTGAGGATTTTTTTCCATTATTTTTTTGACTAATATTTGCTTTTCATCTCTTGTAGGTATGGCCTCACAAGTCTTGGTCTACCCACCATACGTTTATCAAACTCAGTCAAGTGCCTTTTGTAGTGTGAAGAAACTCAAAGTAGAGCCAAGCAGTTGTGTTTTCCAGGAAAGAAACTATCCACGGACCTATGTGAATGGTAGAAACTTTGGAAATTCTCATCCTCTCACAAAGGGTAGTGCTTTTCAGACAAAGATACCATTTAATAGACCTCGAGGACACAGTTTTTCATTGCAGACAAGTGCTGTTGTTTTCAAAAACACTGCAGGTGCTACAAAGGTCATAGCAACTCCAGTGCAGCAAGCCTCAGTAGAGGTACCTCAGATTGGGGCGTGGCGACACAGGTTACATTTCCTAGAGGGCCCCCAGCGATGTGGATTGAAGCGCAAGAGTGAGGAATTGGATAATCATAGCAGCGCAATGCAGATTGTCGATGAACTGTCCATACTTCCTGCAATGTTGCAAACCAACATGGGAAATCCAGTGACAGTTGTGACAGCTACCACAGGATCAAAACAGAATTGTACCACTGGAGAAGGTGACTATCAGTTAGTACAACACGAAGTCTTATGTTCCATAAAGAACACGTATGAAGTCCTTGATTTTCTGGGTCGAGGCACTTTTGGTCAGGTTGTTAAGTGCTGGAAAAGAGGGACAAATGAAATTGTAGCAATCAAAATTTTGAAGAATCACCCTTCTTATGCTCGTCAAGGTCAAATAGAAGTGAGCATATTGGCAAGGCTCAGCACTGAAAATGCTGATGAATATAACTTCGTACGAGCTTATGAATGCTTTCAGCACCGTAACCATACTTGCTTAGTCTTTGAGATGCTGGAACAAAACTTGTATGATTTTCTGAAACAAAATAAATTCAGTCCTCTGCCACTAAAAGTGATTCGGCCCATTCTTCAACAAGTAGCCACTGCACTGAAAAAATTGAAAAGTCTCGGGTTAATTCATGCTGACCTCAAACCAGAGAATATTATGTTGGTGGATCCTGTTCGGCAGCCCTACAGGGTTAAAGTAATAGACTTTGGGTCGGCTAGTCATGTATCAAAGACTGTTTGTTCAACATACCTACAATCCCGGTACTACAGGTAGGTGACAATTACACAATTACTTTTGGCTATTTAATAAACGTTGAATTTTGCTAAATGAGGTATTTTGTGTGTATATATAGTGAAGAAAAGAGCCATTTAGGCCTGAAGTTTTAAAATGATTTGAAAAATGGAGGCATAAAATTGGCTCAAGGACAATAGAAATCACTACTTCCTAGCTAAAGATATCTGACCACTTGAAGACAAAGGAATGCTATTGATTGATGATCAAATGCAAGTCTAAATGTTGGAAAAGTTTTTATAGCAATTTCTGTATTTACCTTTGATCATCTCAGCACTTGGGAGTTTAAAGACATGTGAATGAACATTTAGAAAAATTCTGTTATTGTAATGAGTGGTTTTAGGATTTAAATGTATTTATATAACTCCCATGAAAATAGATATGTATATGCTTAATTTATTTTTTTTACACCTCTACATACTTTGGTATTGGTTCTATGGGAGAGTTTGTCAGGGATTTAAAAATTTTTTAATTTACCTGGGGCTTGAACTCAGGACCATGACACTGTCCTTGAGTTCTTTTGCTCAAGGCTAATGCTTTACCACTTGAACCACAGCTCCACTTCCTTGTAGGGGAAATTTGAAGAAGAAAATAGTTTCCATATAAATGTTGATACATGCTATAATGAGTGGAACACTAACCTGGAGTACTGTAGTTTGAGAGGCTAGCTGATGGTTACCAACATTCAAAATAGCAAAGATTTCTTTGTATGATTATTTTTTCTTTGTGTGCTGGTCTTAGGGCTTGAACTTAGGGCCGGAGCTGTCCCTGAACTTTTTTGCTCAAGGTTAGCACTCTACCACTTGATCCACAGCTCTGCTTCTGAACTTCTGGTAGTTAATTTTTATTGTTGGAGTCTCACAGACTTTCATTCCTGGACAGGCTTTGAAACGGTGATCCTCAATTCTGAATAGATAGAATTGCAGGCATGATTCACCTGTGCCAACTATGAAAAGTTTTAAAATTTGTAGTTGCATAATTTAAATGTTTTACCTCATTATTTACTTACTTTTCTGAGGTTAACTTATTTTCATTTCAGCTTGAATGAATTTATGGTCTGGTATATTCTACAAAGCAGTAATGGTAACAGTCTTGAGCTCTGATAAGTTACTAGACAGACTAGGACATGCCCAACGTATTGCTAGAACTTGTTAGAACAAAAGAGGTAGTTATTTTCTGTTCATTTGGCTTTATTTGCATTATTTCTGATTATGCCCATTAGCTTTCTTACAAGTATATCCTAAAGTACCTTGGACAAAGTAAAGGAGAAATTAATTAGCAAAAATTACCTACATAAGCCAGGCACTGGTGGTTTACGCCTGTAATCCTAGCTACTCAGGAGGCTGAGATCTGAAGATCCATGGTTCAAAGCCAGCCCGGGCAGGAAAGTCTGTGAGGCTCTTATCTCCAATAAATCACTAGAAAACCAGAAGTGGCACTGTGGCTCAAGTGGTAGAGCGCTTGCCTTGAGCTGAAGAGCGTAGGGACAACACTCAAGCCCAGAGTTCAAGCCCTACGACCAACCAAAAAAAAAAAATTGCATACATACATGCTCTACTATCAAAAGATTGTCAGAAGGAATCTTATGTCACCTAGTGATAATTACCTTTGTTAAAATATATTAGGAATTAGCAATATTGTGAGACTTACTCCTATTGTATTTTGGATGGTATAGTTTTTAATATAAGAGAGCTAGATCCTATTTTAAAACTTTTGATAGCTTAAAAGGTAACTTGCTATTGTAGTAGGATAGCAGATCTTATTTAATTTCACACAATTAGATTTAGTTGATTTCTCTGCTTCTGACATTTTTCAGTTTAACAAAGCATAAAGATCAGCTTTTTAGTTGATTTTTTGGAAAATTCATTTTAAAATCTTCTTTAATGGCATGAAAAGAATATTGCTTTCTTTTCTTCCTTGTACATTATAGATTGAGCCTTGAGAGCTTTTCGCGGTTGGCTAGTGTATTACATAAACTCCCAGCTTCAGCTGCTTGGACCTATATTTAGTTTCCTTGTTAGTAAATGACTTCACTTTATTTGGGTTCCACATTATTCTCCATATCAGATTTTAGCACTGTGGTATCCCTAGCCATTATTTGATACCTTTTGGTTGAGAGTTAAAACAAAAAACCCTTATTTAATTATTTTTGTGCTTGAAAATATCAATTGGCTTATTAAGTATTTCACTATTGTTTGCACTTTACGTTTAGAATCCTGCCATTTGTCTTTGCTTATGACTCTGTTACTTTTAAGTCTGATTAGGTAATAAACCAAAATGTCTTGTATTTTCTTTTCATTCTTTGTTAAAAAGATATTGTATGTTTAAATGAAGGCAGGAAGTAGAAATGTACCAAATGGAGTATTTTCAAGATCAGCCCAGTAGGAACCCATACCCCAGTTTCCAGGGTTAATGTGTTTCTCTGAACTGTGTAACACAAATGTAGTAGGGATATCTTAAAATAGACAGGGGAGAGGCCAGAAATTGTTGACTACTATAGATGGTGAGGCTGTCTAGCTCTTGCAGTGATAGAAGCCAGAAGTACATGCTAAGGGCATTGATTTGCTCAAGGTCAGCATGTTCTAAATTCAGCTGCTTGACTATGGTTTCTGTCAGGAACACGTAGGGCTTGTGAATGCATAAAAGGTTTCAGTAGCAGAAGGTGCTCTATTTATGAGGTGTGGTGGGAACATTTGGGTCATGAATCCCTCTCTCTGTCTTTTTTAATGTACAATTTTAGGTTCTGAGGCATTATAGAGCACAGAGACACGAAAGTGGGCTGGAAAATCCCTATTAAGCAGTTATATTCTCTTCCTCAGTGTTTTAGCATTAACTGTTATTGAACTAAAATATGCTTTCCACAGTGGAGGCTGTAGCTCATTGGTAGAGCCCTTGCCTAACCTGCCCAAGACCCTGGAACAACAGCAGAAACAAAAGACAGAGAGCTTCCTGTGTATGCCTATGAAAGCCACAAAAAAGAATGGCATGTCGAACAGTTTATTTAGTTTTTATTTAGGGCATACTAATTCTTCTTTAAGCCAGAATAGCAAAGGAGGAGAGGCTTCTGTAACAAAATTAAGGCCCACAGAAAGACCCAGAAAAATAATCCATCTTTTATATGAAGCACTCCATAATAGAGCATCTTTTGTTTTCTTTTTTTCAAAGCACTGTTACTTAAATTTCCTACTTTGTTTTCCATTTCTTCTTTTTGGAATCAAGGTCTCATTACCTTCCTGGGGCAGGTTTTGAACTCAGGTTCTGTGTGTGTGTGTGTGTCTCTGTGTGTGGGGACTGGTTCTGGGGCTTGAATGACTAGGCAGTGTCCCTGAGCTTTTTTGCTGTACTACTTAAGCCACTTTTGGCCTTTTGATTAGAGATCAGTCTCAGGGACTTTGCTGGGGGGTAGGGCTGGCCTTGAACAGAGATACTCAGATCTCAGGAAACATTTTTTGCTCTTATTGCTTGTATTCCAATGTTATATCCAAGAAATAATTGCTAAGTAATGTCATGAAATTTTCTCCCTGTAGTTTTTTAAAAGTTTTTGGGAAAGAAATAACACTTGCAATTGAAAGCAAGCCATTCTTAGGGTGAGAAAGACTTTTTACCCCAGCACAAGTTTTTATTGTTGTAAAGGGGATTAGAATGTTAAGTCGATCTTGGACCAGCCATGAGAACCCTGTCCTGAGGTTGGGGGAGGTTCATTAGTCACATTGACCTCTAGGGCTTGGCTTACTGGCCTTTGTAAGCTAGAGATTTTATTCTTCTAGGAATGACTTCCTGACCTACCATAGACTGGAATGCAGCCTTTCATTAATCCTAAAGTAGAACATAAAAAAAAACAACCCTATCTTGTCACATTCTATGATGTTAGTGGGCTACTTAGGCTGGTCATCTGTGAGTTGGAAGAGTACAATGTTTATCTCTCAATAACCTTTTGATCGCTGGGTGCTGGTGGCTCACGCCTGTAATCCTAGCTACTCAGGAGGCTGAGATCTGAGGATCGAGGTTCAAAGCCAGCCCGGGCAGGAGAGACCGTGAGACTCCTATCTCCAATAAACCACCAGAAAACCGGAAGTGGCGCTGTAGCTCAAGTGGTAGAGCGCTCGCCTTGAGCTGAAGGGCTGAGGGACAGCGCCCAGGCCCAGAGTTCAAGCCCCACGGCCGACAAAAAAAAAAAAATAACCATTTGATCTTTCCTTTCGTTTTAGCTTCCCTTTGCATTTCCCCATCACTCACCCTAACTGCTACCCATCATTCCCTCCTCAAATTTTCTTTTATTTTTTTAGTACTGGGTTTTGAACTCATGACCTTGAATTTGCTAATCAGGCCCTTTCCCAACTGGGCCATTACCACCAAGTGTGTGTGTCTCTGTGTGTGTGTGTGTGTGTGTCTCTGTGTGTGTGTCTGTCTGTGTGTGTCTGTCTGTGTATCTGTGTCTCATGGGGCCTGAACTCTGGGTCTGGGTGCTGTCTCTCTACTCTTCAGCTCAAGGCTAGTGCTCTACCACTTGAGCCATAGTGCCACTTCTGGCCTTTTCTGCTTATGTGGTGCTAAGGAATCGAACCCAGGGCCTCATGCATGCAAGGCAAGCACTCTACCACTGAGCCACCTTCCTAGCCCTGTGTGTGTTTTAAAAACACAAAATGTTAGGTAGGCTTCTGTAATCCTAGGTATTCAAGAGGTAGAGATCCAAATGATCACAGTTCAAAATCAGCCCGGGCAGCAAAGTCTACCTGTTTTCATCTCTGCATAGCGAAATGCTATACTAGAGGCAACCGTGCCAGAGTTTAATACCCAAGACTGGTACATGCACAAGTATGGGCACACTCTCCTGCCAAAAATTAAAAAGGATTTGATATCATTAGATCTTGGATCCATTTTGACTTAATTTTTGTTTATAGTACTAAGATAAAGATACAAGTTCCATTCTTCTCTTCCTGAATATCCAGTTTTCCAAACACTTAGAGAAGATACTATT